AGTGCCTGGACAGCTTCCCTATCGACTCTATATCGACCCTATCGACTCTACACAGCCACCGTAGGCTGTTCGAAACCGTTTCCCACGCTCTATCGCCTCCGCCACCCAAGGAACAACTGATCCCTCCCTTTATTTTTCTAGGAACTTCGACGCACGGCGCGTCGTACAACACATCCACACAAGACCCCTCAAGCCTCCCATACAGGCTAACCGTCTTATTACCTTTTTAGGTATCGCCGACGAGCTCACAAAGCTTGTCCCATCAAATTCAAGTCAGGTTCATTAACCGACGGCCAACTGAGCAATCCCCGACTTAGATAGCCCGGGACCTCAGGGAAGTTTCTGCAAGAAGAAGCTGAAGAATCGGTGGTACACTCCTATCACCTCAAGAATTCCCCTCGCCTCTTCGACACATCCACACACACATCAAAAACTTCCGTCTGCGACACCGGTATCGCTTGCTACTAGCTATCGCAGAGCCAAGTTTATCTGCGAGCCCAACCATCGGACTGCGGTGACATTCACCCGCACCCTGGCGTATGGATCTGATGCTGCGTGTGAGAAACAGGTAGCGTCCTCCGCTGATAGGGATGGACGGCGTGGGGCTGGTCTGTTCCGCGAGCGCAGACTGTCGTAGATATAGGTGAGCTTCCCTTATGCAAACATGTACTGATATCGAAGCTGATTGTCCATAGTTCATGGATGTAATTCATTGGATTGGATATTGCATATGGGCACATGCTCGGTCCGTATGCTGCTGTGCCCAGCGCAGCAGCGCCCGACTCAATCCCGTTCGATGCGGATGCCCGGCTGTCTCCCTCCACGCACAACGACATGCCAGCCTCTTCAGACAAGCGCCGTTGCCGCTGCTCTCCACATTGCCACAAAGTTTTGAGCTCACGTACACGGCGTAGACATCGCCAGCAGGCCAGGGACCGTGGACACGGCGACGAAATCGAGTCATCTGATACCGCGTCAGATGCTTCCTCCGACGGATCTATGTGCGATGCCGACCCGCTCCATCCTGCCGACACGACCCAGCTGCGACAGCTACAGGAGGAGCTCTGCACTGTCGACTCAGCGTCTGACTCTGATAGCGAGGAACCATCCGCTCCGTTAGATGTTCGGTCTTACAGGATATCAGGACCAGAAGGGAGTGGCAGCATGGAGGATGATGACGGAGACGACCGCAGATATATAGATGATCCCATGGATGGCGAGCAGCTGCGTTGCATACCGGAGAACCGATCCGAGGCGGAAGGGTCAATGTCTAGCATGGATATAGACCTGGACCGCGTGTCTAGCCCGTCGAGTTCCTCTGGCAAAGATTTATCTAGGTTTCCTGTTTCGTTAGGGGATCTTGAGTACAAGGAAGGGCATGATATCGATGAGGACTGGACGATTGACCGCATGGTCAAGGACCTTCGTGATATGATAGGAGATGAACATGAGCAGCTTCTGGACAACCTTCGTAGGCTTCATCCTTGTGTCTTCATTATCTCAAGCTTATATATATATATATATCAGGACACAATCGACTGACGGAACAAGACCGTGACAATATCCGTGTATTCCGTCTCCGGTTTCTGAGCAAGATGCCATGCTCTACATACAATCTCATGCGTTCTACCTTCCGTAGCCAGATTCATATCACATCTGAGTGGGTCCTCCTCCGCCGTATAGCTTTGCTCAGTGGCATCGAGCCGGTACGGTACGACTGTTGTACCAACTGCATTTGCTATCTAGGAAAGTACACAGACATGGATTCCTGTCCATACTGTGGCGAAGGTCGCTACAGAGATGGGGATAGCGCACACAAGGCACGGCGTCACTTCTGCTATATACCCTTGATCCCTCGGCTTCAGGCATACTTCCGTTCCATGGACATGATAGACCTCTTGGGATATAGGTCGGAACGGGACCAGGAGGGCAACCCTGACATTATAAGCGACATCTTTGATGGCGAGCATTATCAGAATCTCCGTCATACCCCTGTGGTGATCGATGGACAGGAGCAGGCATACAACCACTTCTCAGAGGACACAGATCTTGCATTTGCATCATGTTCTGATGGCTATCTCATATTCTGGAGGAAACACGGTGGACCAAGTGCTACACCATTGCTTTTACAGAATCTCAGTCTTCCACCATCCATCCGTACACATCTAGAGCATCTTCTCTGTGTTGGGATTATTCCCGGCCCTCATGCCCCAAAGGATATGGCTGTCAGGGCACGGCTCCCACACTCGCCTCATGTCTCATTGTTCTCTTTTTCTGCTTCCGCTTCTGTCCCATTTCGTTCATTTCCCCTAATACTTCTGTCTCCCTATTCGGTCGCGCTCTCCCGCGCCCTCCTAGGCTTCCCGCGCCCTCCTTTTGGCATCTCCCCTATTTCGTTCCGTTGCTCGGCGCTCCTAGGGCCTCCGCACTCGCGCGGCCTTCCTAGGCCGGTCCACCGGTCACGTGTCGGGCGCCCGAGGACCCTCCCCTTCTCTCATTGGACCATCTTTCGTTGCGTTGATGGATTACTCATCTACTATATAGTCGCCTGTCGCACCAGGGAGCAACCCAGACTTGTTCTCTCAGTTGCCTCCCTGCCTTGTGCGACAGGTATGTGTATTTCCCCTCGTATCTTCGTATATATCCTCAGTTGCCTCCCTGCCTTGTGCGACAGCGTCTCCACCGCCGTCCCGGGGGATCCGCGCCGCTCCTAGGAGCTCCAGCGCGCACTCTGACAATGGCCTCATTTCAGACTCCCCTGGAGGAAGAGTTCGTTCAGCTTGCACATGGTGTCAAGACATTCCATGTTTCTAAAAAACACCATTTTGATCTGCGAGCTTATCGAATCCTCGAGGAAGGCGATATCTTGGCCATTGAGAAGGTGCTCAACCTCAAGGGTCATAACAGTAAGACACCTTGCCGCTCATGCATGATTAAGGCATTCCGACATCCCCAGCAAACAAACTATTACCCTGCACTCCATTCACCACTAGTTGAAGGCGAGGATGTCCAGAGCTGGGATTCACTAGACCTGCCACTTCGCACTCATGACAGTTATCTAGAGGGGGTAGCGGCGGTTGAGACTGCCAATGAGGAGTCAAAGGCGGCTGGTCTACGGATGAATCAATGGTGGGGAATATGGGGACCACCTGCCATTGGTCGGGTTGGTTCACTGGACTATGCACGGTCATTTCCCTGGGACTGGATGCATCTATTTGGTCAGAACATTATCCCCAACTTCATACGCTTATGGACAGGCTGCTTCAAAGGGCTTGATGCTGGCATGGAGGATTATATCTTTGCAGATTCTATTTGGCAGGCTATTGGACAAGAGACCGAAGATGCAGTGCAGTACATTCCCTCAGCCTTTGTCCGCAAGATAGGCAACATTGCACTTGACCGCTCTGGCATGACGGCAGAGTCCTATGTATTCTGGTTCATGTACATGGCACCCAGTCTCCTGGCAAACTGTTTCAAGCACAGAAAATATTACGATCACTACATGGAGCTTGTTGAAATCATGAAGTATACACTGAAATACCGGTACTCTCGTGCATATGTAACTGGATCACTACGGAAGAAAATTGCTCAGTGGGTACAGAAATACGAGAAGTGAGTCTTAATCACTGTCTAAGAGTCTTTTCCAATTGATCATATGCTTAGATATTACTACCAATATGAGGGAAGCCGGTTGGCTGTCTGTGTAATGCCTATACATGGTCTATTGCACTTGGTCGACGACTTCCTCTTTTGTGGCCCTGGCTGGACCACTTGGACCTTTTTCATGGAGCGCTTCTGTGGAATTCTAAAGGATTCATTGCGGTCAAAGAGTCAGCCATGGAGTAATCTGAACAACCGTGCGATACAGCTTGCATATTTATCAAAGCTTGCTATGCTTTATTCTGTTGATGAAGAAATTGAGGGTGTTGACCGTGGTATTGTCCTCTCTCAAGGTGAAAGAATGTACACCGACTGTGAGTAAAAGCAGTTGTTACAGACAACTATTTCATTACTGAGATCCGTGTCATACTCAGATCCATACACTATCCTCTGTCCACCCTGTGTATCACAGTTCGGTCTCGACTCTGATGGAGATTTGCGCAAGAAGATTGCACAGTATTTCCTTGAAGTTCTGAATTTCAATAGGAAAAAGCCCATTACTCTTGCCCAGATTCGGGCAAAGCTTCCAGGCACAGTGATGCGGTGGGGAAAAGTACGCACAACTGATGGAAGCATGTCAATACGGTCAGCTATCGCATCTCGTGTTTTCATCTCAGGAGGCATCCGAGAGCGTGATTCATCCTATGTCAGAGTATGTGTTGAAACAAAACTCTGTTGCCACATACTAATCAAATATAGTATACTTTGTCTGTTCCTAGTAACAAGCGCGCAAGACAGCGTGGAGGTGGAGATGGTGAAGCAGACACAGTTCTACAAGTCTTCTATGGGAGACTGGTATATGCAATTGCTTGCTCCCTTCCCAATGAAACATTTTGGGGGTCAATGGCTGGAACAACAAAGCTATTAGCTCTCATCGAGATGTGCCATACGGAGGGGAAGGATGCACGGAGGGGTGTCGTGTTTTATGACAGGACTTCGGGCCCGAACATCACCGATATACAGACAATCGAGGGAGTTGTTGGGAGGATGAAGTGTGGACAGAAGTGGGCCATCGTGGAGAAAGCAAGAGATGAGGTACAGACCATTTTTGAAAATGGGATCCGGGAGTATCCAGATGGAAATGGATCTGATGTAGAATATGACTCAGATTAAAGTACTGTTCTGTGTTTTGAGCTGTAGCTACCATGGATGTGAAGCATCGAGTGCATGTGTCCAATTTTGAACCCACCATGTGTCGGAGTTCGAATTGTGTGAGCCTACGGCTCGGGACATTGTATCATTGGGCCCGGCGGCAGGGCCATGGCTCGGGACATTGTACGCTATGGATTACTCTGTTACAAGTAGCCTATTTCACTGTGACAACAACATTATGTAGAGTCGCAATAAAGATTGTCAGCATATGTACGAAGCGCATGTGTCGGAGTTTGACCTCACAATGGTCATGTGACGGCCTTGTAACGCGCCGCGTTCTGGCGGACTTAAGCTTGGCCTCTCCTCTCGCTCCTGATCATGGTGCAAAAGATCAAGGAGCCTCCTGGCTACCCTGGCAAGAAGGGATACTGTATCAAGGCTGCGATGAGACTTTGGTCTCATGAGTATAAATACTTCAGGGTGAGTGAAGAGCACAGCTTATATGCATACATGCTGTCTATCCTAGATACTCCAGATCCTACGTTGATTTCTACACACAGGCCAAGGTCATAAAGGCCATCAGCAAGTTCTTAAATACGGACAAGTCATTTCGGGGGCAAGAACTCAGGGACCTTGTCCTCGTCGAGCACAGTGTAAGAGTATATGCACATATATACTACTGATACACTGATACACCATGCTCCCATAGGTTTGCAAGTCTGACGAGAAAGACAGGACGGCATCCTCGAACGATATGACGGAACGTGGCCGATATATGCTATAATGAAGACCTTTCTTGGCAACAGCAGCACCCGCGCACGTCAACTAAAAAGCAAGGCCTTGAATGCACGGGTTTCCGCCAGCTCGGAGCCCCATACAGCTGATCAGCATCAGGAGGGCAATGCCCAAGATAGACGCAACGAGCACAAACGCGGGAGACAGACCCAGGTAGGCTATATGCGCTTCGTTATCAAAACAATGCGGCTAACATGATCAAGGCAAAGGTTCCTTCACGAAAGCGTGCGGCATCGCACTCACCAAGTCAAGCTTCGCGTGCCCCCTCACCATCACCATCTCCTTGGCGCTCACCATCTCCCTCTGATCGCCAGGATTCACTCGACCCAGTCGACCAGCCCATTCCGTGCCCTCTCGATGCCTGCGACGACATTGCTCCCCATCCACTCTCAGACACGGCTCGCGCGATGTTCGATAAGCTCAACATCTCTGAAATGAACAACGACGAGCACGCTGTCAATACGTGGAAGGAGGATATATGCGGCCGCATAACGTTCGAGCTCAACGCCCAAGAAAACGGGGACGAAATGTTCAGCGTCACTCAATCTCAAGGAGCTCCGCCAATCCATCCTAGCGCTTGAGCCCCAGCTCTTGGAGATCACCAAGAAGCCATCGGAATCGCCGCTCTGGCGATTTCTTGACGCGGAATACGGTATCGAGATTTGTGCGCAGCCTGGCCACTTTGACAACCTGCAGATCCCGAGGCACGTATCCGCAGGATGGTACGTGCAATGAACAACCCTTGTTGTTATTACCGTACTTAGTTACGTGATAGCTATGGTCCGCGAGGCGAGACTCTGATCTGGCGTACCCTGATCTCAATACTTTACGACGAGTCCATCGACAACGCGCCGATTGCACCCTTTCCTACATTCAACCTATTTCTTCACCAAATCCTTGTTCCCTCTGCAGATGTCATGGCACGCCTCCAGTACTCATCTTTTCCACGCCTCCAGTACTCATCTTTTCCTGTTTTTCTGCATTCCCCACACGCTCTTTTTACCCTTTCAGGTTTCCTAGGAGCTCCCAGACGCTCCTTCTATTCTTTCGGGGCTTCCTAGGAGCTCCATACATTCTTCTATCCTTTCGGGTCTCCTAGGGCCTCCGCACATTGCGCGGCCTTCCTAGGCCGTTCCACTGGTCACGTGCCGGGCACCCGAGGAGCCTCCCTCTCTCTCATTGGACCATCCCTTGTGTTGCTGATGGATTACTCAGCTACTATATAGTCGCCTGTCGCACCAGGGAGCAACTCAGACTTGTTCTCTCAGTTGCTTCCCTGCCTTGTGCGACAGGTATGTGTATTCATCTCGTATCTCTGTATATATTCTCAGTTGCTTCCCTGCCTTGTGCGACAGCGTCTCCACCGCC